TGTCAATGAGAACATTTCGTGGCAGCGAATATTACTTACGAGATCAATCCCGGGTCATGCTCCAGGGTTGAATCGTAACAGTGAAAACGACCATGTCCTACTCTGCAATGATAATTTCGGTCTCACATAACCACTATTCTCTACAAAGCTTTTTCGGTGTCGGTTCCTGATGGCGAGACCATTATTCAACCGTATTGGGGGGATTGGCGGGGTATGATGATTACTTTAGTTGCAAGTATGATGCCCTTGAAAATATTGGCTTCTCCTTTTGCCAGAAATGTACTGCAGACATTCAGATGCTTGCATATGGAGTTGTCAGTGATCTTGTTGATGAGTACTCCCTCTGTTTTTATTTACTTCGTGTATTAGCTTTGGTCAAAGCCAAACTTTGTAAACTTTGACAAAGTTTATAGACAAAAATATTAACGTATACAATAACAAATCGATACCATTGGATTCATTATTGAATGTACTTCCACAACATATAGATTTGTTATGGTAAATACTTATATTTTGTTCTATAAAGTTGGTCAAATTTTAGGAAGTTTGACTTTAGTCAACTCTAATATGCAGAGTAAATAAAAACAGAGGGACTACATACGCATGAGTGAGTCCGCATGCCTTGAGTCATTGTAGAGGTTTCACAAAGTTGTGGTTGTAGTTTTTGGCCCTGAGTACTTGAGAGAACCAAATCTTGCGAATATAGCCCGGTTGTTAGCCATCAATGAATCGAATGGCTTTTTGGAAATACTTGGAAGAGTATAGATTGTATGCACTGGGAGTGAAAGAAGTGTCAATTTGCTTGGCAGGGGCAATATAAGGGACATGTTAAAGTTTGCACGGTCATACTTGAAGGTGTTGCATCACAAGATCTCTGAATTTGGCACTCTTTTTCGGCATGAAAGGTTCTCACAATGACATCAACGTGCTTCGGCGCTCTCCAGTGTTTACAAGGCTTTTGGAAGGAAACTCCCCATAGGTCAAATTTGAGAGCAATATCCACCAATACGCGAGGCTTTTGGAAGGCAACTCCCCATAGGTCAACTTCGGCGCTCATGTCCGCTTGGGGCCGCTGGCGTGTTGGTGCACCCAACGCGCGACCACACCCCAAATCATGTCCAGGATGGACGTGATTAAAAAGTTCGCAAAAACTAAAAAAATGACGAAAATTTTAAAATAAACGCAAACATAAAAACATAAGAACATAATTAAACATCACGGCCCCAGAACGGCCCCGTTCCGCAGTTCACATAGACATAATTAACACAAAAAACAAAAGAAAAGTGCCGCCCGCGCGCTCCTGCCGTGCCCGTCACCGTCTCCTCACGCGTCATTGTTGTCGTTGTCGTTGCCAGTGAGGTCAATGTAGGGTGGCGGCGTCCAGAGGTGGGCCGGTCCCTGGAATGTGGGAGGCTCCTGGAAGGTGGGAGGCGCCTGCACCAACTCACCCCGCGGCGACATCTCGCACTCCGGTGACCATGGCGGCGTAGGGCACAAGTTCACGACCCCCACTGATATGGTCGTGCACGGCCAGCTCCACCCCTGGCCCATCGGGCCCAGTGGAACGCAGCAATGGGCTGCTCCTCCAGCACCTCCTCCTTCACCTCCTCCCTTATCTCCAGCTCCGGCACAGCCACATTGCCAGCCGCAGAGAGGGCAATCATGGTCTTCAGGCCCTCCCATTGGCGCTCATCGTGTGTGTTCATGGAGTCTTCCATGACACGTTGAAGCAGTCGGGCCTCCTCCTCCTCTGTCATGCGAGGAGGTGGTGGTGGCGACGGATAGGGCGAAGGCGACAACGATGGCGTCGGCGTGATGCCGCATACCCGCGTACACCCGCGCACGTGGGGAGGGCTCGGAGCACGCGTGCGGCGCTCACGTGGCTGCTGCGGCCCCGATGAGGTGCCGGCAAAGAAGGGTGCACGCCGCGTGTCGTGCTCGTCCCGAAACCACGTGTACATATGCCAGTTATTGGGGAGGTGAACGTCGCTCCAGGGGAGCGGCGTCCTCGTCTCCCAATAACGACGGCAAACATCCGCGTGGATGTACTGCTAATTGCGCTCGCCGCCGGACGTAGGGTCGATGGTGAATGGGGCAGGCGCGGGGGCCTCCGTGGGGGTGATGCGGCCTATGCTTTGACGCCGCGACGGCGGCGGCCCAAGGACAAGCCAGCCTCGTGGTCGTGCGCCCCCTTGCGGTCGGTGTTCCACCACACCATGGCTGTCAGTGGTCGGCGAGCTCGAGGAAGGGGAAGGGAGAGCTAGGGTTTGGGTGTCAGGTTTCAAGGAGGCAGCAGCGATCGGAGTGGGAGTGTGGACTGCAACCACTCCACGGATTCCCATTTAAGAAGGACGCCTACCGTGCGCATGGGCGGATGACAGGTGGAGCCTACCGCGCGTGCGCATTTATGTTGGGCGGTGGGAGGTAGGTGGCCGCCTGCCACGCGGCCCCGATGCGGACGAGCGGCACGTCCGTTTGCTGTCCGCCTGGACCCAAACCGGACGCATGTTTGCGCTAGAAATGGGTCGGACCGGACACAAAACAGACAAGATGGGTTCAGGCTGTTGCACGCTGGGCCGTGGGGTCTGTCTGTTTTGCCCCAAACTGACGGGGCGGACGGGATAGGGTCGCGCGTTGGAGTTGGTCTTAGAGCATCTCCAGCCGTTGGCCCCCCCAGGAGGGGCTAAAAATCGCCCCCCGGAGGCGCACCGGCGCTAACCCGCACGCTGGGGGCGTGATGCCCCCAGTCGCGGCGCCCATGTTATTTTGAAAAATGTAAACACGGCACAAAAACGGCGCAAATTCATTGCAAACTTCGGCGAGTTCGTTCAAACTTAAACATATTTTACAAAAAAAGAAAAAAACTACTAGGGGCCGCCACTCGCCTTCTTCATCGCCGCTCCTCGCCGTCCGCCTCGCCGCTCCCCGCCGCCCGCCCTCACAGTTCTACATGCCGAGTAGGCTGTAGAACCGCGTGTAGTCGCCGCCGCCGTCGTCATCGTCGTCGTCGTCGCCTCCTCCACCGCCGCCGTCCCTGCTGCATCCCTCCCCCGGTTGGCGCGGCGGGTTGGACGGTCCGGGGGCGGCCTCCTCGTCGTCGCTGTCGAGGATGACGACGCCGTGCTCGTCCTCGCGCCCGCGCTTGCGGGCTTCGATATCCTCCAGGGCCCGGCGCTGCCGGACCATCTCGTCGCGGAGGTAGTCGTCCCGCGCCCACTGCAGGGCGTCCTCGTCGGAGAAGCCGCGTCGGGCTATCTCCTCGTACTCCGGGGGGAGGCTGGGCTCCGGCTTGGGCTCGACGAGGACGAAGCGAACGGATTGGGGGTTGGAGTCGCCGATGCGGACGTCAGAGAAGCATTGATTCGCCGCGGGAAACGAGGCGATGAGGACGACGAAGCGGCGAGAGGGGAGCCGAATCGCTGACGCGGCTGGCCCACGGCGCTTTCGCGCCATAAAAAATTCACCCGGCGCCCCCGAGCGACCCCAGCGCGCCGGGTTCGGGTTGGGTCCGCCGGCGCCAATTTCGGCCCGAGCCGGCGAAAAACGGGTCCCTGGGGCGCGAGTGGGCCGATTTTTTGGCGCCGGCGGCCGAAAAATCTTGTGGGGGGCTCGTTGGGGGCGCGGCTGGAGATGCTCTTACCCCCTCGACCCATTTGGTCTGCTCCGGTTCAAAAAAAAAAACAAATCCTGGAAACAGAAGTTCTTCTCGATGAAACTCGCCAGCCAGCGGAGCGCCGCGAAGCACAGCACGGCCAAGGACACGGCGACGGCTCTCTGCACGACCGAAGTCACCAGCGTCCCCGTGGCGACGACGAGGAAGCCGACAACCGCAAGCGACATGAACTGCAGAGCGACCTCCATCGCCTTCATGGCCTTCAACGCGGCGCTGCAGCCCCTGAACTGCGCGCCATCACAACATCGACGCTGTTATGATCGGAATTCTCAGGTGTTCCAAGCTTGTGGCGGAGAGAATAATGGTGGCCTGTTTTCGTTGTACCTTTCCATGAGCTTGTCTTTGGTTGGCCCAGCCGACCAGACTCTTGCAGTGCTTTCTGAACCAGCTTCTGAAAGCGATCACCATGTTGTCTGACGACATGGGCTTTGTGCCAGTTCTCGACGCCGGCCGTCGCGAAGTTACGCTCCTGAAATGAAGGAAGGAACAATGGGCTTGCTGCTTGAGTTCCATATCCTGGATCAGTTTCAGAATTCAGAAATTCAGAGCAATGGGTTTGTCGCTTGAGCTCCATAGCCTGGACCAGGTTCAGAAATTCAGGGCAATGGGTCTGTTGCTTGAGCTCCATTAATTACCCCGACGTGGAGGAGTACCACCCCGTCTGAGTCCAAGAGGGCGTTCTTCGGGTCAGTGATATGATTGTCGAGCCAGAAGCCGACGCTCCTCGGGTGCGCCCAGATCACCCTGCTCTTCCCTGGAGCCACCGGGACGCAGATGAACACCACTACACCAGCAGGAACCGAGGCGGCTTCTTCTTCTTCGGCCCAAACCAAAGCACAAACCGTGAACTTCTGAACAATTCCTGTTTGTGTTTCTCTGAAGTGCTGCGAGCTTCACTTGCATAGGCAAGAAAGGACTGAATCAGACACTGTCAGGCAGGGCAGGCAGGGCAAGAGGGGCTTATCTTCCCCTTGTGCGCGTCGGCTTCTTCGTCTGAACCTGAACTCATAGTGCCTGACATGTAAAATACAGGTTGGGGACGCTCCTCGGCTTCTTCAGCTTGCAACTCTGACTTCTAGTTTATCTAGTAACCACACCAAGTGAATTTGTCAGGCTCGAACGATTGGTAAATACAACAATTCATCCGTCCGTGCAAATGTAAAACTCCATATAGCACTGCGAAATCATGAACATATTGTCAACAAAGCAAAAATTTACTGCAAGTCAGAGAGAGATCTGACATTCTTTTTTCCAAAGCAGAGCACACCATTACCCATACAGCGAACACTAATTCTATTACGAAGTAATCCTACGAGACAGTAACCGACTAAGCCTTCTTGGGGGACTTGGCGGCCTTGGGCGACTTGGGCTCCTTCTCGGCCGCCTTCTTGGGGGACTTGGCAGCCTTCTTGGGCGACTTGGGCTCCTTCTCGGCCGTCTTCTTGGGGAGCAGCACGGGGTTGATGTTGGGCAGCACGCCGCCGTGGGCGATGGTGACGCCGGCGAGCAGCCTGCCGAGCTCCTGGTCGTTCCGGATGGCGAGCAGCAGGTGGCGCGGGATGATGCGGGACTTCTTGTTGTCCTTGGCGGCGTTCCCGGCGAGCTCCAGGAGCTCGGCGGCGAGGTACTCAAGGACGGAGGCGAGGTAGACGGGAGCGCCCATGCCGACGCGCTGCGCGTACCGGCCCTTCTTGAGGAAGCGCCCGATGCGGCCGACGGGGAACTGCAGCCCGGCCTTGACGGACCGCGCCACCGCCTTCTTCCTCGGGCCGCCGCCGAGCTTGCGCCCCACCACGTACTTCTTCGCCTTCGGGACGGCGCCGGCGGCTGAGGCTTCCATGGCGTCTGGCGGGCTGGAGAGATTCGGCGATGGCCGATGGGGAATTGGGATTTCAGGAGGCGGGACGGGAGCGCGCTGTGTTGGCGGGAGTGCGTTGTGTTGGTGATGACGGGAAGACGAGTTTGGGCGGAGTATTTACACGGCGCGGGAAGGGGTTCCCGTGGGCCCGTCGATCCGCGCGCACGGGCAATGGACGGTCGGATCGGTGGCGAATGGACGGCTGCGATGCGAAAATTACACGGAGCCCTTCCCATCATTCTGTTAATACTTTTGTCAACGGAAGGAGCGCAGAAATCGGATCAGCTCTCAACGTCTTCACTTTTATTGCAAACTGAAACTCATAAAGCCAGGGAAAGGATTATTTGGATACACGGTTTTTTTTTCTCGAGAGTACGCTTACCATAGTTTTATACTCCCTCCTTTCCTAAATAATTATCTTTTTAGATATCTTAAAGGACTATCATATACGGATGTATATAGACATATTTTATAGTGTAGATTCACTCATTTTGCTCCGTATGTAGTCACTTGTTGAAATCTCCAGAAAGACAAATATTTAGAAACGGATGGAGTAGAATATAGTTTTATAGAAGAGAGAAAACTATGTATAAGAGGGTCACCCCAAAGGCACACACATCCAAGGTAAAGGATCACTCCTACTCCTGCTAACGCAGACTACTACTCACACAACTCATTTATCCACCAAGTCCAAAGCCTTGGTCCCGACCACTTTCAGGATGGAAAACTCGGTTGTTTATGTTCTTCCAAACATACCAAGAGGACCAAAGAATCAAATGCACGTCGGCGTGTCTTGT